CCAGTTCTGTAGTAATTTTGCATGCTTCCAAACTGGCGGCCATGCTTGTATAGTGGTGGTTCGCTCATGAAAATGAATCATGAAAATGAAATGTGGTTGCAATATTTTTCACCGAGTTCGGTCCTCAAACTATGTTTTTCTGATTCAGAAAAATAACAAATGCTAGTAAAAAAAAAAAAAATCAGCTCCATACATGGATTTTTTTTTCGATGATACTGTCCCTTTAACCCTCGCCCGCACATTGGGGGGGGGGGGGTTACCACCCCCCCCAGGTAGTCTTTCTGCTCTGCACTCAACATTTTTAGAGCTAGAAGCCTGATTTTTCGTATAGCTGCTCCTCTATCCTTTCTTGATGTCCACTGAAAATTTCAAGTTTCTGTGACCTTTGGTTTCGGAGATATGACCTTGTTTTTCAGGTCATGTCATGACCCAAATGGCCAATTCTCGACATCTTGCGTTGGCTATGGGCCTTGTGAGCTTTTGACACCTTGATTTCGGCCTTTTTTACCAGTCTTACCTCCCACCCATCATGGAACATGTTGTTCGACAAGATGTCAAGGTCAAGGTCAAGGTCAACCTAGGTCATCTAAGATAATTGCGTTTTAGGCAAGCGGAATTTACTTTTTTGTGAAGTTTTTTGACTGCATTTTTGGTAAAAGCTTCTCAGATCATGATTTCATGTAATATGGATGTTACAGGCAAAGTGAAAACTCGGGCATTTTGCAAAATGCCTAGGCAATTTGCAAAATGCCTAACCCACCAGGCATTTTGCAAAATGCCCAGGCAGTTTGCAAACTGCCTGACCCACCAGACATTTTGCAAACTGCCTAGGCATTTTACAAAATGCCTGACCCGCCAGGCATTTTGCATTTGCGGTTCTCATACATTCCAACCGTTTTTGTTGACTACAGGCGTTGATCATAAACGTTCCATTGTGACTGACCCCACAACACATTTCACATGTGTTCACACACACACAAAACGTTTATTAAGGAACAAAAGATACACGAGAAATAAAGCATGATCAATGAAACATATGGCACAATGTAGCAACTTAAAAGTGATAGCAGAGTGGTGCAAAAGCGCAATCGCTTAACCCTCGCCGGACCTATTGGTTTTCTACATACGCGCCGGCCGAGGGGGGGGGGGGGGTACGACCCCCCCCTCGCCGTTTCGCCCCTGGTGGAGCTAGCGCGTCGCGGAAAAAACGAGCGTGTGCGCCGTTACGAGACGCAGAGATTGGTACCCGATTTTAAGGTCCTAGGTCAACCGGTGACCTCTGAGGTCAGGTCAAGTGCCCCAAGGTACGGTTCAGTTTTTGGTGAATAACTTCGCAAAAAACGGCCGCAGAGCGCCGATTTTGGCAGCATCGTGTTCGTCTCGCTCAGGCGCGTCGAATGATATACTTTTTGTCCGGGTCAGGTCAACTTGGGGTGTTGACCTCAGGTCAAGGTCAGGTCAGCACCCCCAGGTCACGAAGTTGGTCGAAAGAGGTCATGTCGCATAGCATTCGATTCGGCAGGTCTTCCTGAGTCCATTGGTGGCTTTCCCGACTCGCTAGCTCAATTTGATCAAGAGTTATTGACGAAAAACTAATATGACCTTGATGACGTCATAAATGACGTCACGCAAGGTCAACATTGCAAAAGTGACGCATCTAACCTTGCAAGGAGTGCATCAAATCACGATTATGTGTGCTTGAGATAGTTGGAGATCGTTCCCGGCGCCAGAATAGCAGTTTTCATTTTTCCCCATTGACTTATAATGGTGAGGTCACGAAAATGACCTGACCTCATATGACCTTTAGGAAAAATCCGAGATAAACAAGTTGTGGGACTCATAATGGATACTAGATCCTGCAAGTTTCATTTCCCTGTGACATCTCCTCTGGCAGTGAGGGCGTTGCGAAGTTGCGACATCTGAAGACCGTGCAGAGGTTCACTTATGACGTCATAGGTCAGTGACCTGACCTGACCCAAAAATGCGGTTGGTTTCAAAAGATCCGGCTTGGATCAAAGGTCAGGTATGCCAAGTTTCAGCTCTCTATCGCCAGCGTGTTCGGAGCTATCGCGAAAAAACCCTATGGGGGGGCGGCACCCGCCCCCCCCCCCCCTCGGCCGGCGAGGGTTAACTCGAGGCACCACTCTGGAACAAAAATAAAACATGTGAAACAACCGCCGCCGCCGCTGACCAGTCGCTCATGAGCGGTAAATTTTGGTGTTCCATCAGCCGCTCAGCTCTCGGGATTGCAAATTTTGAAAACTTTGAATGAATTTATTTGTTACTACGAAAATCTATTTGTTTTTGTCAAAAACTGGGTTCTCATACCTGGGTCGAAATCCAGCTGCACCACTTATGGATGACGGTAAGTCAGGGTTGCACCCTGAGGTTGAGCGGCCCTGGTGTGTTGTGGGCACATGTGACACATTCCACGGTCACGAATACAGGGTGTCACGAAATTGTTGCGGGATGTTGTACAATTGTGTCCCGAAATGTATTGCATCGTCGTAGTTGCGTCAGTGTTCTCCAGCACCTCGCTGACAAGTTATCAGCGGCCACATGGTCTGTCCCCGCGGCACCTGGTGAAGCTCAAATAGGCCTCTGTAGCCCATCATGCCCCAAACGAGAATCTCCAGTGCCCAGTGGGTGCTTCACCGTCTCGACGGTGCTGCGCCTCTGAGCTGCTGTTGGCCCAGAACTGCTTGTCGGGACGGTTAGTGACTAAGAAGAGCTCTAATAGCCGTTTTCACGACGGGCTATCCGGCGAGTGCACCTAATTTGACCAAATCTGCCCCTAATCTCTTTTACAGCAAATATCTTTATTTTATGAATCTATTTCAGTGTTTTAACCGATTATGCTTTCTGATAATATGACAAAGGAAGCATATAAGCAATTAGTACAACCCTAGCTGATCGCTACTAAGCAACACACTGAACCTCACTTGACCAAATATGCACCTAATCTGCACCAGATGTTAACCAAATGTGTACCAGATGACCGTCGTGAAAACGGCTAATATCGCCTCACGGCCTCATAATTAAGAAGTCTGAATCTTCAGCTTCGGGGTAAAATCTTCAGATACCGGGGGATGGCCAATTTAGATGCCGAGTGCCCTGGTCTAGATGCCCTGGTGCCGGACCCGTTCAAATTACATCCTTTCAGCACTCAGGAGGGGCATGGAGGGACAAGACCGCGCCAACCGCGTATCAAGTTCGTGACACTCTGAATACCTACGTCTTGCGTCAATTCTGTCGAGATGGAGCCAACGCTGAATGGACTTGAGCCACCGTCTCCGTACCTTTTGTATATGCGGAGTTGTAGCCGTGTGTATAAAAGCTGCGATGTCCAGTATTCTGCCCTCGTGAACAACTGTTCCGGCAGAGACAATTGATAATGTACCTAAACGTGTAACAATCAAATTTTCGTAAATTGGAAGAGCATTCTTTTCTGATCAATATCCACCCATTGTTGGCGACGCTTTCGTTCGAATCTCATTTCATGGTGTGGACTGTATTTAATCGCGCATCGCACAACATTTGGTTGTTTGGTGACCGAGATCCAGGAGAAAAATGGTTTAATTGGAAAATTGGGAAAATAAATGTTATAACCTATCACGTTAGCCTAGTTAAGATACAACTAGATATTGGATACAGGATGGAGCGCCGGATGCCGACGACTGAGGAAACTCCTTCTCAGGGAGTATATTTGGACCTAATAAAGAGCGCCGGATACCGACGGCAAAGGAACCCCCTTCTCTGGGCGTATGTTAGGGCCTAAATAAGAGAGCGCCGGATACCGACGACAAAGGAACCCCCTTCTCTGGGCGTATCTTAGGGCCTAAGATATGAGAGCGCCGGATACCGACGTCAAAGGAACCCCCTTCTCTGGGCGTATGTTAGGGCCTAAAATATGAAAGCGCCGGATACCGACGTCAAAGGAAACCCCTTCTCGGGGCGTTTTAGGAATGTTTTAGGATAAAAAAGGATAGTCAGTAGACCTGGTCACCGGAACCGATACGCCTGCCGCATCTCCGTCGAATATCTCATCTGTGTGTAGACCGCGCACTGTTTCACTTCTCACTCGGGCTTCTCACACACTTTGTCTTCTAGTTCACTATATTTGGCGGACAAGGCAGCGAAACGTACCGGGAAGAGAGCCAGGGGCAGCGCAGTGTCCCCGTCGAAGTCGAAAGGTGAAGTGAGGGCGGGGGTGTTTACAACTAGTGTATATACGGCGACAGGGGGGTGAAAACAAGACGCGTTGAGGACGGTCAGAGCACACAGAAAAGGCTAAAAATGGCCCGGGCGTCCAGCGCTCCACCCGGAAGACACACACGCTGGGCGCGCACGTGCGTGCCCCACACAATGGTCCGGACCTGGGCCGGTCCTACGCAAACAGGGAGCCGCCCTGCCGTGCCGGCCGGCCAGCCGGGTCAGAGGGGACGCCAGCGTCCCGCGACCGCGGACGGCGCTCGGCTCGGCGGCGCGGCGGCGGTTCGGCTCGGCAGCGTCGAGTCTCTCGCCCGTACCGCCTTGCATAGGTGCAATTTGTCGGCAACATCACTCCCCCCTGTGTTCGGCTTCACTGCGAACGTCGAACACAAACATTTGACCGACAAATTGAACAGCGCAAACGAACAGTCTAGAAAGTTGATAACCGAAACGGGCGCGGGTAAATATCATTTCCAAGCTCCATACAAAGAAAAACACGCACAGCATTCCAGAAAGGTGCGGGCAGCGGGGTAAAGCGGGCCTAACACTCGCGCGCGGAGACGGGTTGCCTTTACACAGCCCTGAACTCAGACTCAGGTCCCTGTCAGGAAGGCACAAAAATACCAGAGCCGTCGCAAACGGTCAGTGGGCTGGGGGCCGTCAAGCCATACGCACAATGGAAATGACGGACGACTGTTGGATATCTTCTCCGAGAAAACGCAGATGAGCACCGGCTATGGGGGACTGGACGGTTGGTACCTCGGGCATGGGCCCGCAGCAGGCAGTGATCAGTTGTCCACGGGACGCAGCTTTGAGCGCTGCGTGTTCAGCTCCTCTCGGGCGGCGCTCAGTTCGCGCACCACGGACAGCAGCTCCTGGTTGCGCGCCTGGAGCCCCTCTTTGTCCCGGAAGGTGACCAGATGCTGGGCGATCAGCCGTCCGGCGGAGAAGGTGTCCAGCTCGAGCTCGTATCGGGGTGTGGCGACGAACCCGCCGCGCGCCTCCTTCACCTTCTTCAGCGGCACACAAAACTGCATTGCCAGGTCCGCTGTCTGGGCGGCCAGCCGATCCCTCTCGTGTTGTACGATACGCAGTCGCCGGCGGGCGCCGTCAGGCTTGGCGCGTGCTGTCTCCAGCTCCCGTAATGCCTCGTCATTGTTGCCTGTGGGAGAGTTGATCGTCTGCACCGCCGCCTCATAATCCTCGCGCTGTCTCTGGATAGCCGGCGTCCACTTATCAATGTCCTTCAGGATCTGGTCGAGGCACAGTTTGAACTGCTTGCTCTCGGCCTCTGTGGCCGTCAGCTGCTCCTTGGCCTGACTGAACCCGGTGAAGATCTGTGTGAGCGTCATACCCTGCCACAGGAGCCGGCTGACGGCGGCGGCGGACGGTGACGTGGCCTCCACCGCCTCGTCTGATAGGCTACCTTTGCGGGTGATTGCCTGCAGCTGCTCCTCGTAAGTCTCCAGCCGGTCGCGCAGCTGGAGGATCACCTTGTCGCGCTCCACCAGGCACTGGCCGTGCTGGGTGTGCGTCTCGTCCGGATGCACCTCCAGCTGGCTTTGCTGCTCGCTGGCCGAGCTCAGCAGTGACCGCAGCTCGTCCACCGAGCGCAGCATCTCATTCGACCTGGCCTCCGCCTTCTCGACGCCCTCTTTGTAGGGCTGCGCCAGCCGCTCCTGTGACCGCAGCTGCTGTCGATAGTTTTCCTCCTGCTCGATCTCGGCCTCACGCTGCAGCCGGGGCTTCTCCACCAGTTCGGTGAGCCGCTGCTCCAGGTCGGCCGCCTGCTGTGTCAGCCGTTCTTTTTCCGCCTGCTCCGTCCCCAGCTGGTCCATCTTGTTGGCAAGGTCGGCCTGCAGCTGGAGGATCCGCGAGCTGTGCTGGCGGCGCAGCGTGGACAGTTCCTCTGCTTGCGACTTCAGGCTCTCCAGCAGCAGAGGCATCTGCTTCTCCAGCACCTCCTTCTCACTCGCCATCTTCTTCTCTCTGTACTGGAAATTGATCTCCTTGGCGGCAATTTCCCCCACCTGTGCAAGCGCCCGACACTTTGCCGCATTAGCTGCAGCCAGTTCAGCTCCCCGGTCGGCAAGCTCGGTCGTCAGCCGGGCCACCCCAGCAGCGCGCCGCTGCAGCTGCTGTACCAGGCTCGCCTTGTCCGAGAGCACCTGGTCGCGCTCCCGACAGGCGGCCAGCTCAGCGGCCAACGCCCTAGTGAGGCCGGCATCTGCCTTCCTGTAGTCTGCGGTGGCCGTGGTCCGCTGCTCCTGGAGTCTGGCAGCTGCCTGCTGCTGCTCCTCCAACTGGCTGGACTGCTTCTGCAGCTCCTGCTGGGCCTCCTGCAACTGCTGGCCCAGCTCAAACTCATTCTGCTCTGTAAGTGCGTCTGCTGAGACAGCAGCGACCGATACATGTCTCTCGGCGACGTAGGAGTTGATGATGACCTGGTACTTCCCTGCGACCTCTGGAAGCTTCTCGAGCTTTCTCTCCGTTGCCTGTAGTCGCTGAATAGCCTGTCGCTTGTTGTTGGGAAGTGTAGGACCTGTCTCTTTCCACAGCAGGCCGGTCTCGTATCGCTCTCCACTTTTGGTCGTGTTTCTTTCCAGCATCTGGAGTGCTTTCTTATCCTCCTCCGATCGTGACGTCGTTTCACTGTACTTTGTTCCAAATGCTTCTGTAGACCACCATTCGTTGACGGCAGCGCACAGCTCCACTTCGCTCTCACTCGATTGGCGTCTCAGAAACATGACCTGGCGCATGCTGCTGGGCACGATGTCAGACACGCAGCCCGTCAGGGTCCATCCTAGGTCTGTCTTCACAGCGGCCGGCTGATTCGGACGTCCCACATGCACCTCCCGTTGCAGCACTGCTTCAAGGACGTTTGCACCGATCAACAGCTTCACCTGCCCGCCATTATATTGCGGGAACTCCAGATCACGAAGGTGCTTAAACCTCTGAAGCTGACTCTTCGTCATTGAAGTCGCAGTCACATTCAGCGCTGGCACAGACCACACTTCAGGAATGTTGATGCACTTCTTTGCCCCTGTGCCAAGGGGGCTGATCTTCAGTTTCACTCTCTCGGACGGACGCTGAGTGCCACTGGTCTCCACGTTTTGTATGCAGAGCGGGTGTCGCTCCCCGGCAACGCCCAGCTCCTCCAGAACATCCTCACGACACAGTGATGTCTGAGCTCCAGCATCCAGGAGTGCCAGAACGTCTGTCGAACCACGGGGCCCGTGAACCCGCACAGCAACAGTCTGTAGCAGTGTGTCTGTGTCCGTTTTTACCGAGGCCGCTACAAACGGCTGGTTCCCGGAACTACCTTCAGCTGAAGATTCAGGCGCTCCCGTGGTTGTCCCTGCTGACGACTGATCCCTCCTCGAGCTGCTCTGATCGGTTCCTGACCGACTTGATCCGCGGTGGAGAAGCGGATGGTGCGTGAGCTTGCATCCCTTCACATTGCACCGCCGAGACACTTTGCAGCTTCTGCTCCAGTGGCCCTTCTTGAGGCATGAAAAGCAAAGACCTTCTTCATAGGCAACAGCGCTTCTTGCGTCTGGGGTCTTGGCCTTGAATTCTGAGCAGTCGCTCAGCCTGTGGTTACTGCTGCACACCACGCACACCGGCAGAGAGCGGGCCTCTGGTTCGGTTTCACCATTAGCTCCTGTCGCCAGCGCTGTTCGCCGAACAGGGCCGTCCCTTGAAGCAACTGTTGCACGTTTCCGTTCCGATGTTGAAGTCCCGGACTGGACAGCAGAGAAGCTCAGGATGCTGACTTGGACTTGGAGCCACTCGGTGAACGTCTCCAGAGTCGGTCTCGTCGGTCGCAGCCGGAACACTTCACGGCCCCACTCTCGGGCTAGCTCGCTCGGCAGCTTTTCCACCACTCTTCTCAAGTTTTCACTGCTTGACAGGTCACTCGCGTAGCCGAGATTTCGCAGGACGGTGACTGTGTTATGGACGACCGCATAAAACTTCTCCATCGCTGGGAGGTCCATTAGTGACGGTGGCGAGGTCATGAACACATTTCGCAGGTGGGCCTGGATGATGTCTTCCTCTCGTCCGAACCTATCTTGTAAAGTTTTCAAGGCCTCGTGATACAAGTCACCGTTGAATAACATGCCGTCAATGGCCTGGGCCGCGGGCCCTTCCACCGCGTTTTGAAGGTGAGCCATGCGCTCAGCATCCGACAGGGACGGCTGATCATGCACCAAGGCTTTGAAAAGACCAATCCAGCGCGGCCACTCACGTGCATTTCCGCGGAACGTTGGCAGAGTCAGTCGCGGTATGCTTCGTTACGGTCCAAGGCGGACATGAGGACAGGTGGCGCCGCCGCCACTCGCATAGCGGCGGGAATGTGAACTAACCTGTTTACCATAAGGCCGCCATGTGCTAACGGCCGCTGCGGGCGCCGTTTCGGGCTAGTTTTGACTTTGTACCGCAATTAATGGTTTATTTATAATAAAAAATGGACTAGCGAGAGTCGTGCCGGAATCAGAATTCAATGTTCTACAAAACTAAGCCATTTTCATTGTGATCACGTCATCGACTTCACCGCCCAACCCAATAAAGCAGAAATATGTCGTGTCACCGGTGATTACACGCAAAAATTCTTTGGCATATAGCATAAAAACCAGAACACCTTTGACTGCAGCAACTATGCGGTACTACAGAAAATTGTATGGCCTACCTAATGGTGCCCATTACTTAATAATTAAGCTGAGTATTTCGTCGCCTAACTCTTGTAAAACCGTATGTCCGCTTGTCTATGGAGTTTGGACCGTAACGTTTTACGAACGCTGATGGTCCTGCCAGGTCATTGCGTCGAGGTGAGGCCGGCGGTGCGATCCAGCTGGCACGAGCCAGTCCGTCAATCTTGTGCACCCCATTCTCACCTTGAGGAACACCGGCGACAGCTCTGGGTGATGACGAGATGCAGCGGGAAACTTCGCCACCATTGGATGCCGGCCGCTGCTCACCTGACGTATCACGGACGGCTCTCGATACATCGCATTGCTCAGGCTCCACCTCCACTGGGATTTCGTCATCAAAGTCGTTTCTCCGCTCCCATTCAAGGTCATTTTCTGCAGCCCTCAGAAGTCTTGCCCTCTGCTGCGCTCGCTCCACCTCCTCTTCTAACTCCTTTTCCTCCATCATCCTCTTCTCTTCTTCCATCTGCGCTGTTCTTTCTGCTTCCTGGTTTCTCAGCTGCCTTTCTCTGTCTTGCCTGGCTTTCAAATGCTTCAGCTCCAGGCTTTTCATCTCTGCCGTTATTACAGCTTCCCTGGACGCCGCTCTGGACACTCCTGAAACACGGGATCCGTTCGCTCTGCTCCCCCCGTGATGCGACTTTGATGGCGGTGGTCTGTCATCTGCTTGCGACGCCGCGCAGCAGCTCACTGGTCGGTGCGTAGTTGCCTCTTCAATTCTTTTCACCGTCTCGGCGTGCCGTGCCGTCAGTCGGGTGGCGTACTCTTCCGCTTCTTCCAGTTCGCAGACCTCCTGCACCTTCTCAACATAGGCGTCATTGGCCTCCATGAAACCATCCAGTGTCGCATTCAGGGTTTCGAGCCGCTTCTTTAGTTCTTCCTCGCTAGCTCGGCGCGCGATCTGAGCCTCCGCCGTGTTACAGGCACGAGTAAACGCGGCGGCCTTGCGCCCGCGCTGAAGTTTCAGGTGCTTCAACACGCATGCAGTGTCTCCAGCTTCCTTGCCGGCAGTATCCTGACTCACCGTCGCCGTCTCTGTGTTCTCCGCCTGAGTCAAATCTTCCATCATCGGGATTTTCTTCTCGATCCGACCGGCACACACGAGTCACAGCTTGTAACCTACAATCAATCACTAAGTCGGCGACGGGCAGCCACAACAGTCTTCAGTTCTCACTTCAGGCCAGGACCATCCGGCCCGGAGGACCAGAAAATGTTGGCGACGCTTTCGTTCGAATCTCATTTCATGGTGTGGACTGTATTTAATCGCGCATCGCACAACATTTGGTTGTTTGGTGACCGAGATCCAGGAGAAAAATGGTTTAATTGGAAAATTGGGAAAATAAATGTTATAACATATCACGTTAGCCTAGTTAAGATACAACTAGATATTGGATACAGGATGGAGCGCCGGATGCCGACGACTGAGGAAACTCCTTCTCAGAGAGTATATTTGGACCTAATAAAGAGCGCCGGATACCGACGGCAAAGGAACCCCCTTCTCTGGGCGTATGTTAGGGCCTAAATAAGAGAGCGCCGGATACCGACGACAAAGGAACCCCCTTCTCTGGGCGTATCTTAGGGTCTAAGATATGAGAGCGCCGGATACCGACGTCAAAGGAACCCCCTTCTCTGGGCGTATGTTAGGGCCTAAAATATGAAAGCGCCGGATACCGACGTCAAAGGAAACCCCTTCTCGGGGCGTTTTAGGAATGTTTTAGGATAAAAAAGGATAGTCAGTAGACCTGGTCACCGGAACCGATACGCCTGCCGCATCTCCGTCGAATATCTCATCTGTGTGTAGACCGCGCACTGTTTCACTTCTCACTCGGGCTTCTCACACACTTTGTCTTCTAGTTCACTATATTTGGCGGACAAGGCAGCGAAACGTACCGGGAAGAGAGCCAGGGGCAGCGCAGTGTCCCCGTCGAAGTCGAAAGGTGAAGTGAGGGCGGGGGTGTTTACAACTAGTTTATATACGGCGACAGGGGGGTGAAAACAAGACGCGTTGAGGACGGTCAGAGCACACAGAAAAGGCTAAAAATGGCCCGGGCGTCCAGCGCTCCACCCGGAAGACACACACGCTGGGCGCGCACGTGCGTGCCCCACACAATGGTCCGGACCTGGGCCGGTCCTACGCAAACAGGGAGCCGCCCTGCCGTGCCGGCCGGCCAGCCGGGTCAGAGGGGACGCCAGCGTCCCGCGACCGCGGACGGCGCTCGGCTCGGCGGCGCGGCGGCGGTTCGGCTCGGCAGCGTCGAGTCTCTCGCCCGTACCGCCTTGCATAGGTGCAATTTGTCGGCAACACCCATAGTATTTCCAAAAAGTCACCAAGAGCTCTTAGAAACAGTACAATCATTGTACCGAGCGCATGTTTACCCACGAAACCACGCCCGATGCTCGGCACCCGACGGCCGCTGGGGCTCAGTGACCTGAACTCGGCGGCGCTACCCGGATAACGCAGTGTCCCCTCGCTTGGTGCGCAATGCGCATTGACAGCGATAAACTTTTGTAATCGGCAGTTACAAATGATGCTTACCTATACATCGTCGCTAGTGCGAGTTTGATGTCAGGCATTTTGCAAAATGCCTGGGAAAATATTTCAGGCAGTTTGCAAAATGCCTGGTGGGTCAGGCAGTTTGCAAACTGCCTGGGCATTTTGCAAAATGCCTGGCGGGTCAGGCATTTTGCAAATTGCCTAGGCATTTTACAAAATGCCCGAGTTTTCACTTTGCCTGTAACATGGACACATAAACAATCGGTGCACACATCAGTATACACACAGACACACACAGACATACAAACACATATAATTGACCTTGACCTAACTTGACCTGAAATGACCTCAGCAGCAAAAACCTGGTCGGGTAGTGTGAGAAAGAGGTTCTAGCTGGCTTGGCACCAGAAAACAGCATCGTTATCGGTATATGATAAGCAGCGCACTTGATATCCAACGGTGACCCAAACAGCAACATTTTTTAGTTTGACCTGACCTGGAAGGTCAATGACTGACCTGAGAAGGTAAAACTGGGTATCATTGGATTCGTCTCTTCCCAAAGAATCTTTTTGGTCTTTACCGCTAAGCTCTATCTCCAACAGGAACGAAATGGCGCGGGGGGTGGCACCCCCCCCCATGTGCGTTCTAGGATGGGAAAATGACATGTGCGGGCGAGGGTTAATTTCCATATTGTATTGGTGTTTTTAAACTTGTTTGTGCCATGAATAATTATTAGTTGTGAAATCAGGAAGTCAAGGAATATCATGTGATTTGCTTCTTACTTGGGGATTGCACCAAAAGTAAATTGGTGATCGGTCCGAAAAAAAAAAATAAAGACCACCTAACCTAACCTAGGTTTGCAGATTGATATTTCGGCAAATTTACATTTCAACTAATCAACATTTCGGTAAATTGACATTTCGACTAATCGACATTTCGGCAAACTGCCCATTCAGCAGATTGACATTTCGGCAAATTTACATTTCAACTAATCAACATTTCGGCAAATTTACATTTCGGCCAATTGACATTTCGGCAAATTAACATTTCGGCAAATTGAAATTTCGGCAAATTGACATTTCGGCAAATTTCCATTTCGACTAATTGACATTTCGACTATGCCAAATTTGGTGGCGCTACGTGCCGCAGTTTTTACGTTATTTGCGAAAAACCTTAGGGGGGGGGGGGTGCATCAACCCCCCTCGCCGGGCGAGGGTTAAACTTATAATGGGACTATAAATCCTAAAAGGGAGCCTATCAGGCCGGAAAACTGCATTTTTGAGTCCTATGACGGGGTTTTCAGAAACCTGACAAAATGATTTGTGTATATGTTACAGGGAGTTTGAGAAATCCGTGAGTTTGCAAACTCCCTGACCCATCAGTGAGTTTGCGAATTCACTAGGGAGTTTGCAAACTCACTGACCGGTCAGGGAGTTTGAGAAATTCCAGAGCGATTGGGACGAATAAAAACAAGTGTGTAGCATGTGGGTGTCATACGTTCTGTCCGTGATGTTAAAACAAAGGCGGCTAGTTGTACGGCCTATTTAACCCTCGCCCCGTTGGGGGGGGGGGCCATTTTGGCCCCCCCTGTGGTTTTTCCTGAATAGCAAGAAAACGGCGGCGCGCAGCGCCGCCAAATTTTCAGTACCTTCCCGGGCATCAATTTGACACCTTCACACTAAATTTCAAGTCTTAGGTCACCTTAGGTCAGGAGTTATTGAGGTCAAACTGAGGTCATGTTCGAGCAAAAATAAGCAAAAAACATGCAATCTTGAAACGCTCACCAAATCTACAGTTATCAAGCAATTTCAAAGTTCTTTATATGGTCTAGTAGACGAAAAGCGGCGCTACAAAACTGCTCTCTCGGATTTTCAAAATTTTTGGTTTTTGACCCAAAAAAAATCAAAAAATTGATTTTTTTAGAAAAACTTTGAAAAAATCCAAAAATTTTCCAAATTTCGAAAAAAAACCGGTATATATGTGATAGACCCAGCGCTCTTCTATATACATACCAAATTTCAGATCGATATCTCGTTTTTTGGCCAAGTTATAGCGAAAAAACTGTTCAAAAATGATGACGTCAAATTTTTGAACTCAATTTTTAGCGATTCTAGACCACGTACGGCAAAACAAAGACCACCATTGAACTCCCCGTGACGAGCTGCATCGATTCGATACCCATTTTATGCAAAAATATTAACTTTGAAATTTGACCTAATTTGACCTGACCTTGACCTGACCTTGACCTGACCTTGACCAAAACGTGATCTAAGCTGGACCCAAAGGCTGCCTGACCCATATAATCGCATTTGTCATGTAAAATGGACCATAAAACATGTATCACACGACACTTTCATATTGTGACCCCCCGTGACCTGACCTCTGTGACCTGACCTGGTATCAGTGACCTCAAATAGCAAAATATGTGTTTGAAGAACATTTCCCCATCGATGATTTTCAATGAAATGCATTTTACTCGATTTTACAACGCATTTCTTGAAGTGCCTGTAAACGATGAAAATTGGACCTTTGACCTGACCTGTGACGTCATCGGTTTGACCTAGGTCAATAAAATTGGGTCACAAGCAGGGTTGTATACGACTCAATCAATAGCAATCAATTCAATCACGACAAATTTGGGAAACTAATCAAATCAATCAAGTCAGAGCAGTTTTCGGGAATTGATTCAATCGACTCAAACGCGACAATGAAAGGAATCAATCAACTCAATCAAACGACTCAAACCAAGATATACATTAGGTTTTTTGCCCCACCAACTTGGAAAAGTGTCCATAGCAGTCTGGTGTACCTACCTACCTACCTACCTACCTACCTACAGAAGAAACATAAAAATATTGTCATTTAAAATTATAAATTGCCATGCCATTCAAAGTTTCTATGTAATAAGGAAGGATACATAGTGATGGACAGGTGGATCATGATATTGAGGTTCAATGGGTAGAATTGGAGCAGAAGTTTCATTGGGTGCAAAATAACCCAGTAGTTGACTTCAACAAACGCCCCTTAACCCAAATCACCACCTTTCACCTAAAAGTTGTCAATTTAATTTTGGCCATATTCCAGCTAAGTCATCAGGCCATCTACCCCATGTAAAGCCCCCGTCTGTCTCTTATCATTATGTGAGTTATGCGGAGCTCTTCTGAATTGAACCCTGGGCCTGAACATAATGAACCTAGCTAGGTTTCATGCCACACTGACACCATATGAAAGTGTTGAAAATGTGCTACAAATTTGACAACTTCATTAGGTATGCTTTATGAAGACAGCAGGAAAGCAGGTAGGTACCTACTTACCTGCCTAGATGTGTCACTGGCTACCAACAGTACCAACGAAGGTAGATAGGTTATGTGTGAAGAATTCAAAACATTTTATTGCAATACAATTTGAAACTGTTAGGACTGGGGGATAAGGATGAGCATTAAAAATATATTTAAAAGGAAATGGAAAGGACAGGGACTCTGAAACCACAAGATAAGTTAAAGACAAAGGAAGTAGGTACAAATTAAAACGCGAAAACGGCACGGTGCGACTGCGAAAAAACAAAGAAAACG